GCACAATTTGGTAAACTGTGGAAGATATTGACTTACCTTCTCAACGGTAAACATGTGAGCATCTTATGGACACTCTCCTTGTTGGTAACACCATCAGCAGTTGGCTGGTGGGTAGAGGCATGCAGGAGGACTTGAAGTGCTCCAGATGCTCTTGGCCGTTCGAGTCCACGAGGCACCTGTGGTGGGAATGCCCAACCTCGAAACGCATATGGAAGTGGTGGAAAAACCACTAGGAGGAATTTGGAGATCTGTCAGTAAAATGGGATGAACGCTAGGCTTTGTTGGGTCTCCTCCCATAAGAATCGAATGGAAAGAGTGGCTGGGCCTATGTAGCACATGCCACTTGGTGTCTGATCTGCGAAGTCATCTGGAAGGACAAAAATAGAGCAAGATTCCAAGGCAAGCCGCTGTCAGACCTGGAAATCAAGAGTTTGATCAAATTGGGCTTGAAAGAAGCCATCAGGGTCGACTGGAGAAGAAGAGCAAAGTCGGGATTGGGCAGTAAAAAACAGGTTCGCCGATTCATCATACACACCTGGGCTCAACGACACCGACTCGCAACGGTTCAAAGCGAGAGAGGCCTAGTACTAGCACTGTGGATAGTAGGGCAGCCGGCTCCGGAACTCGGAGGATCATAGGCCAATGTAGAAACCAACTAGCCGAACCTGGGCACTCGGCTGGATTCTCGGCAGTGAGCCACGGGAGGTTGGTTTGTGGGAAGGCGGGTAGAGAGTGTTGATAGCCCTTAAGGAACAAAGTTCCGGTCGACCGAGTCAGGTCGACGTCTGGACCGTCAATAGGTGCCTGTTTAAGCCAGAGAAGGGAGGTTACCGTTTCCGTAGTTAAAGTTGGACCAGAGCTAGACTCGATCAACTCGCTTAGCCTTAGACAAAAGGGCACAGCTTAGGTTGACAGTAGATAGGCATACCAGGACACTCAATTATGTAGAGTCGTGGTAGGCCTCAAGGGGAGTGGCAGTTGGACTAGGACTCAGTCCTCTGGGCCGATTTAGTCCCAGACACTTAAATATTTTAGTCTCTGAGGACCTAGACACATTCCCCCAGATGCTCAGAAAACTTGATCAAGAGGTTTATTGGCTATTCACTTCGAGAGGCCTGTTAGCAACAGCGCAAGTCGTAGAGACAAAATGTAGCTTCTTGTAGATAGTAACGAATAGCTAGGGACTTTAAAGTTGGTTGCAGTGAATTTTCCTCAAGCAAAGGCCTGTAAGCTAAGCTGGCTGATGCTGTCAGTACTACGGGTTGAATTCTGAGGTCCCGGGCTTCAAGGTCGATGTTCAAAATGAATTGAGATTTGAAAAAAAAAAAAAAAAAAAAAAAAAACTGGTCCTCTTTTTTTTTTGGGGGGGAAAAATTTGCAAAATGCCCCTCAAATTTTCGTTTATTGATGATTTGCCCTCGAACGGCCGAGGTTTTCTGATTTGCCCCTGGGGCCTCTGAACTTTCGTGCATGCCCCTGTCAGTGAAGGGTCCATCTTTTCGTAATGCACCTACCAGACCTGCGGTCCCATTTCCCGTGGTGCCTGTCCAATTTGCCCTCCTGCGGGGCCTGCATCTTTGCGAGATGCCATTGGACAGGGAGGCGCGAAGATTTCGAATTTGAACGCTCCGCCGCCAAAAAAGCAGGGCTGCACTCCGTATCGCCCTTGCAGTTGCAATCTGACGTCGTGGAGTTCATACGCTTGCCTTCTGCTGCAACTCGCCGACTTTCACGTCCGTGACTTTGACATCTGGCGAAGGTATGTGTTCCACCCCGTCTTTCATCCTGTCTTTCATGCCTCTCTCTCTCTCTCTCATGCATGTCCGGTGACCGTTTTCATGTGTCCAGATCACACAGACATTCCATCGATAGGATGAGCAAAAACGGAATGAATCTTCCGCTGAAACGTGGAAATATGCACTGCCACTTTTTGATTTGTTCATTCTATCGATCCAAGTAGCATGCGGCGAGGCGCGACTTATCGTCTCTCTCTCTCTCTCTCTCTCTCTCTCTCTCTCTCTCTCTCTCTCTCTCTCACACACACACACA